CTCGTCCCATGGAATAAGCATGTCAAAACTAATCCAGAAAATTGTCAAATACTGATCGGACAAACTCTAGTAAAAACATTATTTTTTCAGTGTTTACGTATGAGTATGAATATGAGAATACTATATAGCCATATAGGCAACAATTTAATATTATCTACATAGCTTCACATGAGATATAATATAAATTAAGAATTACATAATAAGGATTATATATTTCTTATTATGACCGAGTAAAAAACGGATGATTAACTATATATGTTTAGTTAATGCGACGGATAGTTACATTCCGAGTTTAAACCTAAAACTTGACACTATTTTGATTGATTAGATGAAGATAAAAATGTTCTCATGAATCAAATTCATATTAGAAAAATTTACTCAGACCATCTTCAAATGGGTTTCTTCAAGAAGTTCTTATATTAAAATAACAATAAAATTTACATAAAAAGTTGAGAGACTCAACATATAATTGGCTCACTTTTATTTACAATTTAATTATTTAATTAAATTATATCAAAATTATTAGTAATATATTTGGTAAGATACTTTCATGGGTATCTTACCATTGAGTATGCTCTCATTCTCTTGAAGTTTTTTACCAATAAAGTACGATCACTATTTAGTCTGTAAAAGGATTCGTAGTTATTATTTAAGATGGTTTTTTTTATTTTATTGACTGATTACTTCTTCCGTGACAACCATTTCTGTCACTGGAAAGGCAAGTAGTACCGTGCGTGCAATTGGGTGACTCTGCGCGTCATGTGGCGGCGAATTTTGATTTTTTCGAAAATAAATAACACATATACAAAATAAGTAATATACGTTGACATCTTATTATATAAAAGAACGCGCACAATGAAAACGCGACACGTAAGCAAAATTCTTATTCACGAGATCATGATATGTATAATTATTAATTTAGATCGTGACATGTGTCAATATTAACAAAAACCAATTAACATAAAATAAAAAATATACCCAAAACAAAGATTATGGCTAATTTAGAAAAAGAAAAAAAACTGTTTCCACTAAAA